AAAAAAAAAAAGGTAGCTTTGCAAATTGAGGTGTGTTTAAATTTAAATTTCACTGTGGCGCTATTGAAAGTTAAATCCAATTTAGCAAATACTCCAGTAGAGAACTACTGTTGACTAAATATTAACAGAATCTGGCCTTTGGAATTGCTAGCTGACAGGCTGTTTTCTTGCAGCTTTAATTTCCTATGACTGATCTGAATGACTTGCTTGTACCTAAGACATTTGTTGCGTTACATTCACAGGATAAGATTGGTTTGAGGTTTATTGCTGAAATGTACTTTTCAAGCTCTTTGAAAGACTCTTGAGATTTAAAAGTAAAAGAGGAAATCTGTCTTTGTCTCACTCTGTGAAAATCAAAGGCAGTTGCATGCTCTGACAAAGTCTCAGTTGGGGACACTCCTTTTAAGTAAGGAGATTCTGTCCTGTTTAAGTCAGCAAAAACTGTGGGTGCTGAACATCTCACTAGATCAGACTCTTTAAACTTACGTACAGCTCTTGCCTAGCTAAAACAGCGAGCCTGTTCCCAGCAGCTCGTAATGCAGTCTTAAAAATAATTCTTCCAGGATAATTCTGAATAACTGGGGCAAAACTCAAGCAGATACGTACACAACTCAAGGACTTCTGTACCCTTTTTCTATGAAACAAAATGAATCCCTGAGGGGATGAGGCTGTAGAGGAGAGGGTATAGAAGAGGCTGGTGTTCGGGGTGTGGGCTCCGCACAGATATGAAGTGTCCTCATGCTTTATTCAGTGAGCTGATGTGGGGTGTCAGGGGGAGATGGCAGCTGCTTCATCTGCTGCAGAGAAAGGGCCTGCAGCTCTGCAGCCTGCCTCTGCAGTGGGGAGCTGAATGTTTGTATTGGCATTTTTTAGTTTGGGGAATAGTGTCTAGAGACTTTAATGAAGAACTGAGTCCTCTTTATATCAAGTACTTTCCGACTGTGTGTGAAAAAGACTGATTTCTTTACTCACTCCCCGTTATAGAGAACCTAGCATGTTTGGAGGGTTTTTTCTAGGATGATGTAGCACTCAATTTTAACCTTAAGGGGTTTAGAATATTTTTTCTTGCTTCTCTTGCCTACGGTATGGTGTAAAAATGATCACTATCATGTAGAAATTACTATCAGGGTTGTTAGTATTTCATCTTGACCGCACAACGGAGTTCTAAATTGGTATATTTTATTCTAAACTGTATGTACTAAATCAAAATTGGTCAATCTTTGCGTCCGTCCTGAGCAGATACATTGAAATTCTCTATCTGGTATTGGAGGAAGTTGAGATGC